TTTCAATAGAAATCTTATTCAGTGTTTCGATGAGAGGTGTCTTCATTGAAGCATTACGTAAGATTTATGATGCGGTTTGATTTTGAAATGACGCAGTTTAGATAGATATGTTATAAAGAGTCACTAATTTTGGGACAAAGAGGGGAATACACAAATTAAAATGAAGAATAAAAGGGATTATTGACAATCAAAATTAGAAGTCTGTTTTACATATTTTTAATCTTACATATATATGTGTGTGTAAGTACCGATTGTTGTTTATTGTTGTCGAGAAAAGTTATAAAAAAAATAAACACAAAGAGAGAAACCTTTCTTAAGACGACTACCTACGTTTCCAGATTACTCTGATTGTCTTAAATAGGTCATGCTTAATGCTGTTAATATTCTTGTATTAATGATCGATTTTATAAAGCTGCCGTATTAGAGAAGTGGACGTGACGAGAGGATTATAGCATTTTTTTTACTTGAATGTTTCTATTAATTAAAAGCTGAAATAAACTTAATTTCAACGGTAGCAATAAATGAATAAATAAAGTAATAAAAAAAATAATAAGAAATTTTAAAATAATCGGTAAACAATATGGATATCAATTAATTTTAATTTCCATTAACTTTCATTGGTCATAAGAGATCTACTGATACCAGTAAAAAAATTCATACACACACTGGTCAATGAATTAGAAACCCAAGATCAATATTTAGACCACCTTTTGCACGGTTAGCTGCTCTGATTCATTTGTGCATCGAGTCTACATGCTTCTGGAGTGCATTTACATCCAGAGAATACCATGCATTGGCTATGAAGCTTTTTAGGTCTTGTAAATCGACGGAAGTGGATAGTGCTGTCGGATGCGTCTTTCCACCATATTGCACATATTTTCTATGGGGTTTAAGATCCGGGTTATACATTGGCCAAAGAAGGTATTGGAAGTCAGAATGATGTTCAGCGAACCAATTTTGAACATTTCTAGCACGTGTATAGTTGTATCATCGTCCATGAAGTATCCGTCGCCATCAGGGTAAAAATGCAACATTTCAGGGTGCACTTGATCTGCCAGTATATCTAGGTATCTCATGGCTGTTTGTTTACCCTCAAAGAACACCACAGCACCACTTCAACGCCAGCAGAACATGCCCATATCATAATACTCCCAGACCCTTCCACAGTGCGAGTAAAGCAAGATGGATTCCTCCGACTACACTATCGTTTCCAATCCTCAGATGTGATGAAGCACAGTAAAGTCCCTGTTTTGCCGTACAATTCGTCGGAGACGAGGCCGATTATTCTCTTGTAAAACTGTGCGTGCTCGAACAGTATGTCTTCTAGAGAGGGACTGTGGGTTCTGATTCCAACTTTTGAAAGCTTTTGATATGGCTGCTTTTGAGAAACCAGTGAGATCTGCTATCTTCGAATTCAAGGCCCCTGCTAAACGGGCACCAACAATAAGCCCTTTTTCAAAAGTTGAAAGATCTGTCGTTTTTCCCATTTTACTTCATTCATCTTGAAAATCACTTTTACACCTTACTTATACAAGCATTCTAACCACGTATAACCCATGTCATAAAAATATTTTCATACTTCATCCCTAGCACGCATTCAAATGAAAATCTCAAAGTTTTCTAATTCATTGGCCAGTGTCTATATAATCTCATATGAACATATGAAGGTACCCATATGAAATATATTAAACCCATATGAAGATATAGTGAAATGCATTTCGATTGTATTAGTATCATTTCTGTGACAAACACAAACTCAAATCTATTTCCGCAGTTTCTTACAAAGTAACTTCCTCAGTCTTTCAGTCTATTTGATATAGCTTTAATGAGTCTTTAAAATTGGGTATTTTTGCGATTTGCGTGCGTGTAACATCCGAAGTTTCGATAGCTGCCCTCATTTTACGATTCATTAAATTTCCTCTAGTTATGCTTCGAGTGGAGATTAGTTTCAGCCAACTGATTTTCGGTCACGCTTACATTTCACAAAGGTCAACTTTTCTCAAGGCAATGAAATTTGATAAATACAAAGTTATTGAAAATTCAGAAGGGATGCAAATTTATTCGATATTCGAGATTTCAGAATATTTACTCACAAAACAGAATCTTATAAAACTATGCCAAAGTTCATCGCTGTATGAAATTTGTCACTACAGAGAAATGCATTTTCAATAAATACAAAAACTGTGGAAAACATAGCTGTACTCCATTTGTTTGTAATATGTATTGTTATGACGTTTGGTATAATTGTAATGATTGTTCAGTGTGTTGGATATATGTTTGTTTCATACGTTCTTCTTGTTAATATGCTTCATAATATTTTACTTAATGTATAAAACATTTTACGTTGAAATATATTTTATCATATTATTATTGTGAATTTTTAACATGTAGTTATATAATGATTATAATTACGGAATCATTTGTCTTGATGTTATAAATTTACCATATGAGTATATATGTTCTTTGATTTAGATATGTGTCAAGCAAGCACGGTCAAGTGAAGCTTTCATCAGAAAATTTTCAGGCATGTAAACTAGAATAAAAATAGAAAATTTTTTTCTATAGGAAGGAAATGTTCAAGTTCAGGAAATTAAAAAATAATAATAAACACAGCTTTAAAAATGCACTAAAGCAAAGAAACTATGAGAAAAAGCAAAGAAATTATGAGAAAAAGCAAAGAAAAATCTATAATAATAACGTGTAAAAAAGAAAATCGTAAGTTACAGAAGCTTTCTAACAAGTGCGATTTGCCTGATAAGGTGTTTCTTTTATAAGGTAAACTAATACACTATTAAGAATGTGTTTACAAAGTACTTCTAATGATAAAGCATGTGAAAAAAAGTAAAACATAGAAATCTCAAAACAAAATTATTTTCATAGAGCATTTTAAGACATTCTCTTTAGTGACTGGGAGTAGGTAGCCTAGTATGTGATTAATAGCTTAACTAGTATTATTTTCTTACTAACGAGTCAGGCATATTAGGTAGACCGATAATTTACCTGAAAGGAAAGGGAGGGGCATTACACGTAGCCATGTCATATCCATGGTTCGAAACCGAGCCTAGCGGCAGTTTAGCTAGGTTGCTCTTTCCGAGCATAAAGTGATTCTGAAAATCTCTAGGTCAGAGTACGAAAGTATTTCATATCACAATTAAGCAAAGAAAGCAAAACTGAAAGTTATATATCAAATGAAAATGTGAAAGATTAATAAATAAATGAAGTTATAATAAAGGAAGATTTCTATAACTTTAGTCAATGGAGTAAAATTTGTAGAAATATTAGGCTTTTCTTGCAGGAGAAGACAGGAAAAATGTGCAACGTCCTCGCCCGAGACTCGTACCTAGAAAACCTCTCGAACACGTGCCGAATGTGCTACCGTTACACACGAAGGCATGCTGGAAGAAGGAAGAAAATGCCGTACATACTCCCCATTTTAAAGGGCGACTTGGGATAGGGAACCCAATCGGCACATCCTGGTGGTGACGAATTATTGTCCACCACTTTTTAGTTCGGGCAAAACGGGTAGAGACTTTTTCTTTTTTTTCAGGAGGAATTTGAAAATTGGGCAATGCTCTCGCCTGTACTCGAGCCTGGAGCTCTCGAATACGCGACGTGTTACCGTTACACCACAAAAGCATGCTGGAAGGTGAAAGAAAATTATTATATCGACACTGCATCTTCTTTTTGAATATCATTGAGGTTTGGTTTGGTTTAATTAATCATCGCAAAGCACTCGAAGGCTATCTGGCTAAGTGGAGGGATACCTTCGTGGAGGACTTTCTAAGGGAAACTGGCTCGTATATTCGTTACACTTGGAGAAAAGCACGAAAACAAATATGCAAGCACCCCGTTCGCCGGTATTCAAACCCCGAACCCCGAAGTATGGTGTAGTGTTCAACGACTTTACCACTCCGCCGCTCGTGGGCCGAATATCACAGAGGATCACGTTTGGAAAATCTACCATTCAAATGCATAACACAGCACTTAAGCACGGGGTTTCTCAACCTGGCTATCATCTGCACGTGATTAGTGATAGAATTTCAGGAGATTCAACAAAAAGGAGCTTGCCCTTGAGTGGACTAGTCACGAGCCATATGATATACAACGTAGGAAACAGATATATTTTACAGGAGTGATTATACTTTTAAAAGCCTCCATCTGCGACCGAGTGGTTAAGACCGTTGAATACTGGGAGTTCTACCCGGCGTCGATCCGAGGTAAACGGGATGGCTGCATGGTTGTTTCTCGTGGCTTTCCCATGTATAGCGTACAAGCCAATTTCTTATAGGAAGTCTTCCACGAAAGCATACATCCTCTCAAGCAGATAGCCGTCATGCATTTTGCCGTATTCAGCAATAACCTTATAACCTTTCCTTTTATATGAAATACGCATTTACTAAGGTTAAGAAACCAAGAATTTCAAAAACAATAAACGCATAGGCAATGCTGTGAGTCACTGTTTTAAAATTTTGATTTCAGTATTCTTGAAAGTGTGTTTATGAAATTTTTATACACGTTAAATAAAGATTAATTCTGATATTCAAAATAACTTTAATAGGGAAATTCTATTGAAATTTGTATTTTAATTTAATCTGCCTGCAGCTAAATGCTCAAAACTGCCTATTTAAAGCATTTTAAGGGGCTTTAAATCAATGTTTGATTTAAACAGAAGAGTTTCATTTGTTATTTGGCATTTTTAGTAATAATTTAATAAATAAATAAATTTAATATATGTATAAAGCATTACTCTTCACACAAGTTCCAAAGCGTAGAAACATCTTCGTTATCAAATTTCATTGCCTTGAGAAAAGTTGACCTTTGTGAAATGTAAGCGTGACCGAAAATCAGTTGGCTGAAACTAATTCCACTGAAGCATACTAGAGGAAATTTCATATATCAAACTCATAACAACACATATTAAAACAAATGGAGTACAGCTATTTTCCACAGTTTTGTATTTATTGAAAATCATTTTATGTAGTGACAATTTCATACAGCATGAACTTTGGATAGTTTTATAAGTTCTGTTTGTGAGAATATTCTGAAATCTCGAATATCGAATAAATTTGCATCCCTTCTGAATTTTCAATAACTTTGTATTTATAGTTACGAATTAATTGTTCTCTAAAATAATCATGCATAATACGTATTAGGAACTGAAACATATTATTTATTAGTACCTATCATCCTTTGTCATAAAGCGCATTCTATCTCACTTTGAAAAGATTTAATACCTTTCCTCTCAAAAGTTTAATTTAAGAAGAATTTAAGAGAATTTTCCTCTCAAAAGTTTAATTTAAGAAGAAGGTCATTGAGATATTTTACGGCTGTCGATCATATGTAAACTTCCCTTCAAAGAAAATGCTACGGTATAATATAAATCATTTTTATGTGAATTAAGTAAACAAAGATAAAAATATTTATGTTAATATTCCCTTTTATATGTAGTAAAAAATTAAATCTCTGAATCTAAAATTAATGGATGTTTGAGAGCCTCAAACTGCTAAAAATTTAGCTTCAAAATATAAGAGAAAAAATAACAATTAAAGCCGAGGCTAAATAGGTATCCTTATTTTACAGGGAGCTCATGGCTGTTAATATAAGAGAGGCTAAATGTGTAAAAATATAATTAGGCATGAATCCATTCCAAGGAAAAAGAAACGGCAACATTAGTGTTGCAAAGACGTATTTCAGAAAGAAGCTCTTCAGTGACATATACTGAGGCAATAACATTGCCGCAATATAGTATTTCATCGAAGAATCTTTCCAAGATATCCATAAAGATAAAAGCAATAGGTTAATTACGTATTTAACAAGGAAACTCCATCTTAAATTCTTTTTGCGTTTGCTGTCTGTACCGTTAAGGGGAGCTTTCATTCTTTCATTTGCGTCCAAAATTGCTTTCCTAGCTCCATCCCATTTGTGAGGCCCTTGGAGTCTATATTGATAAGACAATGAAGGCCCCAAAACCAGAGCTTTGAAAAGTTTAGGGTCTGTAATTAATATTTTCAGAAGATTTGGCTTTGCACCAAACTGAGAGGCTATGTCATCCATATAAGGTATATAATCTACTCGTATTGACATTTTGTCACCAGGACGATATCTCTTCATGTTGGCTTCATGACGTTTAACAATTTCATCCATCATTACGTCCTTAGATGGTAATTGCATTTTACCACTGAATATCTGGGCTACCCAGCGACACTGAATTTCTCCAAGAGGAAAACCTGGACCAAAAGGCAATACAAATCCAATGATGACTAAAGTTTGGTGTTTTAGATTTGGAGACCACATGCATTTGTATAGATTAATTCTTCCGTCATTTTCTGTCGTTATTATATCGTCTTCCAAGAAAGGAAACTTCCATTCATATCCAGTCGCCATAATTACCGTATCTACTTCAGTAACGCTATTTTCTCCTTCAAATACCACACCATTTTCCGTAAAGTATTTAATATCTTTCTTAAGTAAAACGCTTTTTGAAAGTAGCTTAGACGGGAAAGCGTCATTAATTGAAGGGTCTTTGCATAGTACGTGGTATTGTGGTCGAAGATTATACAGATCGTGATTGAACTTGTTATTGAGGTAGAAAGTTTCTATGAATTTACTGGACAAACTTATTGGTAATATATCTTGAAAAAATGTTATGTAACGTCTAAGTAGGGAGTAATCCATCGGTACACCATATGGTCCAACTCTTGGGAAAATCCAAGATCCACTACGAGTGCTGAGATAAACCTGAAATGAAGTAGATGAATAATTCAGATAATATTACCCAATATACATTTTTAAAATTTACAACTTTGCTCTTTACGTTTATGTTAAATTTAAAAAAAAAAAAACATAAGATAGTTAAAACATTAGCAATAGAATTTACAAGTATCTTTACAGAAGATTAAAATATTTTTCATTAACTTTTTCATGCAAAGCATACGTTTAATGTTGAGATCATATTTAAGTTCATACCATTTACAGATTTAAGAGAATCGGCAAAGGACTTATTTACGACAAATCTATCTGCGTGCGTTTCTATCTGGTCTTTATTGACTGGCTCAAGATATTTTTCGGAACCTTTAAAGAAAGCAATATGTCCTTGGCCGCATTTTTCACACGCAGTATGTTCATTTTTAACTTTTTGGCATTCTCTGAAGTGATAATTTAAGCCATATTTTACGCAGCAAAATTCATTATAGCAAGCTTTTTGCGAATATCGAAAACATTGGCATCAGAAGCACTGGACTAGACCAGAGTGCCCTTTGAATGTCTCCACTTTTATATGTAAAGCGAAGTACTTTTTCCTCCTCTAGTCTTTAGCCCTAGATGTTTCGTTTTAGGCAGTGGTAAATGAAAAGCAATGCCAGATGAATGTGGAAAGCTTCAAGGAAATGCAATTCACCAACTAAAGACATTTTTTGGATAATTTTTGCAGCTCGAAATGTCAAAATGGTGATTAAATTTCCAACTATGATTAGATATCAAAGATTTGTTTGGTTTTTATTTTCGGACATAAGATTCGAGAAATTTAACGCTTTTTTTAGTATGGCCGATCTATCTTAAACCACATTGGTAAGATATGTTATAAATTCTCCAAGGACAGAAGTCAGAAATGGAAACTTTTAGAATCGAACCATGGATTTTATTTATTGGTGACTTGAGAAACTATCATTTCATCTGTGGAGTCGCTACATAGACGATACTTTCGCTCTTTCTAATGATAATAAAGATGATTTATCTCAAGTTTATCTGTTATAAATTCGACTGATCCAACCATCCAGTTCACTTCTGAAACCGAATCCTCTTTCCTTGATATTTCAATAATCCGCAACTAATCTGATTTTAGCACTGCTTTTCTGTTTGCTTCCCACCCATGCTAAAATAATGTCACTCGACTAAGCAAAAAAAAAAAAAAAAGTTTCTTTTAATTATTATAGATCTCTTGCTTTCAAAGTTTCCTCTCAGGATTTTTGTTTTCGAATGATCTAAGATATTTGTCACCCCTCCCGCTGACAGAGGATTTTCCTTGAAACAAACAAGTCTTCGATAGCTAATCGTAGTTGGAAATTTATTCACAATTTTGTCTTTCGGCCTGCAAAAATTATTCAGAAGTTTTCTTCAGTTGGTAAATTGGATTTCCTTGAATTTTTTCACATTCAGAAAATTTTATCTTATTTATATAATGACTTTGATTCTAATCCAGGCTTCTCTAACGATTTTAAAATTATATTAACTTAATATTTCACTTTGTGATTATTTCTGAGCACAAATTTCGTTACTTTCTCGTTCGATTTACTTTGTTCTTGCTGTAAATATGTCTGTGGTTCCTCCATTCTTTGCAGAATTTCTTTGCTCCTGATGAACAGGGACCTGTACCTGTTCGCTCTCGAAAGCAATAGAGTCTTGGTTAAAATCTACGCTAAACACAAAGTTGTTGCTTTTCCTAATCGTATGTCATGTCACAAAAGTAATTTTGCTGAAGCAAATTAATTTTGCTTGCGCAAAAAACTAAGAAGCATTACAATTTCATATATTAAAGAACTAAAGTTATGAATCATTGCTCATTGTATGATGCAATAAATTATTAATAATTTTCATAATTTGAACTCATGTTGATAAAGCAAACGTTGAAAAACGCAAAGAAAGGCTGGAAATTAACATAGCGTCCATTCTGAGCCTATCCCACCAAAAAACTTCAAATTGTTTACTATTATAAATTACTTGTTAAATGTTATTTGTCCTTAATCCCCCCGAGCTTAAGCCATCTGCAATAAACAGGAATTATCTACAATTATATTTGTAAAAATATTTATAACAAAAAATGCTGAAATCCTTCTATAAAATGATAATAAATACACGCAATTATTTTGTTTGAACAAAAAGTGAAGAAAATTCAGGTAAAAGTCAATAATAATTAAATCTCAAGTATGAAACTCTAATGTGAAAGTAGAAATTAAACTAAATACTATGCGCTTGGGATTGGAATAGTCTCTTTTATATTACCTATATTTTAATCTTGTTGTTTTCCACTGCATACAAGATATCAAAATTTTAAAAATATTTTCTTCATATTTTTTTTCATGAAGAAATTATTCAAAATTACCTTCTTTCCTATAAAGAGGTTAGAAGTTTACACTACTGCATAGAAAAGAGGTTCAATTGTAACAAATTTTGAACTAAATATTTTTTTTCTCCCTGAACACGCATGCAATCACTCAAATTTCGACGCACTTGCTATTCGCGCGAATGTGCGTTTGTTTGGATATTTGTGCACCGAAACATGAAGCCAAATAATGGAATAATATTTCTTAATTTCTTCGTGTGAAAAGAACAATTTAAGCTCGGCCAGTAACTATTCCAAATGATTTAATGATTAGCATTAATATTCCACTTGGAACTCGATGTCGGTATAAATTAACCGACATTATACCTATTTAATTACATATTTATTAATATTTAATAAATAATTATTAATATTTATACTCACAATTATTAATGTTATACATATTTAATACATAATTTTAATAATTCTGGTGCTACTTGGTAGACGGTTGCACGGATTTGCGATTTTCTTTGGCGCATAATACGACTTATGGTAAACCCTTGCTAGATAAGTTTATTTATGGTAACCGATACTTTGTTTTTATTTTATTTTAAAAAATAATGCGTTTTTATTATGCATAATTCCGTGTTTAAAATTATTATTTATGGCTTCTAAATATTAAAAATCAATTTAATTTTGCATTTTTATTTGAAATGAAATTTTTTGTTTATAATATTTTATTAATTTTATGTTGTGATGATGTAATTAATGACGTCACCTTGCTTAAAAAGTAATTGGTTTTATTAATATCTTAAATTTAATCTAATGTTTTAACATTATTTATGGCTGTTAAATATTAAAATACAATTTAATTTTGCATTTGTTTTAAAAATGATTTTATTATGAATGATTATTTAAATAATTTTAATTCTTTGAGTGATGTAATCGGCTCCCTGATTGGTTACTAAATATTTGTGCATTACCGCGCCATTTTAAAATTTTATTATTGATCTCATCGAATTCCTCAGATTTCACATGGAATGGATATGTCCGTTGCGAAGATGAATAATTACCAAGAATTATTGGTATCGGAATAAAAAAATTGCCCTTTGAGACCTTATTTTGGCCAACCTGTCTTTCCTAATCAAAGATTTATTTATAAATTTTTAATAGCGTCAGAGGAAATTTATTTTAAATTTTTGGAGGAAACCTTGCTAATTGCTTCTTCAATGAAATGCGAGAGAGGTGGATCACAGATAAAAATCGTTAGAAGACCTTTTTTTTTTTTTTTTTTTTTTTTTTTTTTGGTATACGATATACAATATACGATAGGTAAAATACTTTAAAAAAATGTAAGTACATAATTTTCTTTTACTTTATAACTGTATACTTCAATTTTTAATTTAAAAAAATGATAGAATGTTTTCAAAAATTCCTGAAATATTTATTGCAACAGATGTTTTAATGTTAAATAATTAAATCCTATAACACTTATTTTAAAGTATTTGAGTGATATTTTAATTCTTTTAAACGTTAGTATGATGTTTTTAATTTGATATCCAATTAAATGTTGGCGCAATGTTTTTATAGCGGTGTTTTTATTCTATTATATGAAAGTAATAATTTAAGCTTACTTTAGCATTTATACTCTTAGTAAAGGTATTTATTTACATTTGCCAGCCATCTTAAAAACAACGTTTTCAACAAAAATTAAAAATTATCCATTATTTTTTAACGATATTTATTTTTTTAAAGTTTCGAATACTTTACTATATGCGTAAAATACGTAAAAACAGCATTTTTCAAGATGGCTGACGACTGTAAAAACCGCGCCAACAATTGCGCCAATGTAAATCGCCAAAAATCCGTGCAACCGTCTACCAAAGTAGTACCATAATTCTATACATAATTATTAATATTGCATTTGGAAATCGATGTCGGTATAAAATATTATTTCATTTAAAGATTTTTTTTAAAATTCATTTTAATATGTGAGCTAAAGTGCAGCAGCGTAATACGAATACGAAAGTTTAGAAGTGTAAGAGAAAGCGAAGAGGAAGTCTATTATTTAACTCCATAATTGTCTATATATGTTTATGCAAAGATAGCTAGTTAAGTGGCTTAATTGAAGACCACCAAAAATTATCGTCTCTAAATAAATATATTTAAACGAATATATCGGGACTTTGCCTGTTTGCTTTGTGGAAACATACATGAAATAATGAAAATAACTTATCTTCTAATTTGCGTATTCATGCATTATTCTCAAAGATTTCTCCATATCCCAAATTAAAGCAAGAATCATCTAAAATTTGAGAAAATAAATCTCATTTTAATATGAAAAATAAGTAATACTGCAAGAATCATGTCAACTTACTTGTTCTGCTACGCTACTACTTTCTACAGCTGCATCCAAGGCGGAACATCCGATGCCAATAACACAAACCTTTTGTCCAGCGAACTCATCCATCTTTTTCAAACTATGAGTATGAATAACCTTTCCTTTGAACTTTTCCAATCCAGGAAAACTGCATAGCTTTGGATAGGTTATATGACCTGTGCAAACCATCACACCGTCAAAAATGTCACTTGTTATTTCCCCATTTAACGAGTTTTTAACTTTCACTTGCCACTGTCCGGTTTTGTCGTAATCTATAGACTTCCTGACACTGATAACTTCTCGGTTGAAGATCATATGCCTGAAGCAGTCACATTTATCTCCGATATCTTTGAAATATTTATAACACTCTGAATGCCGCATATAATTTGCGTATTCCTTTTTCGGGGGAAAATTGCTGAGAGCTCCCATTTCTTTACTATGGTTAATAACAGTTGTTGGCATTATGGAAGGCACGCCATATGTAGCTTCTTCTCTGTAGCACCACGTTCCACCAGGACCAGAGGTTCTCTCATAGCAAACAGGTTCGATGTCTACTTCTTTCAGTGCTCTGATAGAAGACAAGCCGCTGAATCCTCCACCGATAATTGCAATTCTTTTTTTAATACGCATTTTCTGTCTGTAAAGAAAAAAAAAATTCCTGAGAAATTATAGTAAAAAGTTACGTCCTACTTTTTTTAAATATACATACACGTAAATGAATACTCTCTTATTGATATATGTATATATTACTTAATTAATTAATTTTCTTAGTTACTAAATATTTTCTAGTCTCATACACTACTAGTGATAAATTAAAATAAAGTCAGAAGAAAATGTTAAAATTGGCTTCGTAATAAGCTTTTTAGAATAAGGAAAAAAATTAAAGAAAATGATATGAAGTACTAAGTGCCGAATGAAAATGAAAACTAAATTGCATTCAATTCCTAATAAATTCTTTTTAAATTTTTTAATTTCTTACCCAAATTGTTGAACTTTTCTTTTGATATTGAAATTCTACGCTATCCTGCGACGACAGTAAATATTAGACACTCTCTAAGCAGAATATTTAATTACTGTTTTTAACATGAACTTCATCTATCATGTAGGAAAATAAGACTAAATATTCATGGTAAAGGCTTGCTTTATTTTCTATAGAATAATTGATATTCATATTAAAAGTCTAATGCAAAGAGATGCTCCGAAATACAAATAAACTTGCATATATAATTAAGAATCCATTTTAACAATACCTAAAAAATTAAGACTATTAACTTTCAAATCTTCGAAAGATTTGCAAAACGAACTCAAGTAATGAAATTGTTAGTGTCTCCTTATTAAAACTAGAATACAGAGCTATTTTCCTTTCAGGACACATAATTTTTTTAAGATGAGAGAACAACATACTTTTGAAAGATGATATACGTGTGCAACTGCTTTTCCCCCTCTGTTTCTAAACAGAAGAAAGATACAGAAGAAAATCCTTAATCCAAACTGCTCTTCACCTGTGTTCTAAGCGAATGCTCACATTTTTTGATCGACAAAAAGTTCAAATGCGCTGATTTCCATCGAAATTGCCTTGTGAAGTCATATGAAACCGTGAACTACTCAAGCAGATTTTTTCCTGCGTCTTTAATCTGCTACTTTTTATTACCTGATTTTTGTTTCACTAATGTATCGTGAGCAGTATGCACTTTTTTAATAGTTCTATTATTCAAAAAGCCTTTGCCTCAAGGAATATGCATAATACAGGTATAATAATTTTACGACGAAGCTGAAATTTGTCCCACATTCTATATCAGTATATTTAATTCGACTTTCACTAGACATCGATTATAGTTGCGTTACAGAGAATGCGATTTAAGAACGAAAGAAATTCAACGGAGATTAGCTGTAGAAAAATAAAAAGCATTTTCATTTAATCTAATCGCTAGAAACTTACTGTAACTGTCGTAGAGGCCTTTAAAATCATCATGAAATGCAAAATAGGTAAAAAATAGTTAGGTTTAAAGACAATAAGCTGAGTTTTACTATACTTTTATTCTTCTAAACAATATTAGCTGAGATGCATTCTTAATCTTAACTGGCAAAAAATGCTGTTTTTGGCATACTGTGCTTCATGTTTGACTGCTTCTATGTACTATTATGGGATATTAATTTCATCATGGTTGTAAGTAAAGGAAGGGGAAATTCGGAAGAGTAAAATGAAGTTTCTTTCTTACTATGACGCATCACTGAACTGTATTAAGATCTGAAATCTCTGATGAAGTTATTCAAAACATGAACTTCGATATTCGTCAAAATAAACGGATCCCCGGAAAAATATTCTGTACACAAAAAACGAGAACTTAACGTAGCTGATAGCTCTAAATTGTCATAAATTACAATTAGCATAAATTTCATGCTGATATTCTTTAAAAGCTGAAAATAAAAAATTCCTCTATGGAAGGAAGAGATGGGAAAGACTGATTTAGAACTGGTCTAGAGTAAATACTGTTATCATTTAGGATTCTAACCAAGAATTTAAAATAAGACCTTATGGACAGTTACTTGTTTTATCCTTTATTTGATGACACGTTTTATTTCATTTCTATTGCCTTAAATTTTGGATTTATTAGAGCAATGTCTTGTCTTTAAAAGGTGAAGGAATTCATAACTGATATGAATATCAAAGCCGGGTTGTGTGAGGCAGGTGAGGCATTTGTCTTACGTGAACTATTAGAAAAAGCGCCAAATTAGCAATGTAAAAAAAAGGTTGCAATTGTTTATTTTCAACTCTGAACGCATCAAGAAGTGCGGTTTCAAAACACCATGTTTAAAGTAATAAAACTTTTCTCAGCTAACATTACATGTGATAATTTATAAGAAATATATTCTTTCTTGATATATCTTTCATTCTCTGTGCTGTCATAATTATCATTTAATAAAGCCCTCTTAATGCTGTAAACATTATATTCTTAATGATTTTATTCTCCTTGTTATATAGTTGGTTATCTTATTTCCATTACATATCTTTCATAATAGCCAACTTCTGGAAAGAACTGCGTCTTCCCGTTTACGCATGACACAGTATAATCGCAACACAAAAGGCAATAAAATTACACGAATGTGATAAATACATACGAAAATTACTCAGCAAAATTATCAAAATATCATATTATTATTTAACTGCAATCATGTTTCAGTTCCTGGAAAGAGGTTAAGGAGAATTTTCTATTATAAATAATCTGGTTGTACGTTGTTCGTTTTCAAGAGTCGTTCGTTTAAACCTGCTATATACACTATTTTCTAATACTAAAATTTATTACTGCTACCAACATATTCAAATTGATTTAGATTTATGATAATGAGCTCCATAAACTAAACTTGCCTAGAGTAGCCATATTCCTCACATTAGTAATTCCATTCTGTTTTTATTTAATTTGTCAATATTAATTAATATTAATATTTATATGGATATAGCATGTTATCCAGAGTTCATTAACTGTCACCTAAAATTTGATTCAGCAAATATAAAACACAGAATCGCATTAAATTGGCATCGAAAGTTTAAACACGGGTATCTAAAACTTTGAATTTTATTGTGGAACAATTAGAATAAAATTGTTGTTTCGGCTTATTCTGAGGTAACTGCTGTGAAGATTGCAAAAGCACCGATATTCATCGATATTAGTAATACCGAGAAAATATTTCTCATACTGTTAATAATTGTAGTAATCAAATGTTTTTAAATTAATTGCAACAAAATATATAGTAAACGTTTTTTTAAACATTTTATTAAATTAAAAACTGAGCTAAAATATTGGTACTATATAAAATAAATCCCTATTTGACTACCAGTGGCCAAATGAATAAGCTCACGGAACACTACTAATTCAACATTGTTCAAATCCTAAGAAACGGGCGTGATGCATTAATTCTTTCTTATTTTTGCTGTAATGTAACAAAATACAAACCAGTTTACCGTAGAGAGTCTTCCACGAAGGCCCTTCTCTCAAACAGATTGTCTTGCCCTACCTAACCTTAATCAATTAACCAATGAAATAGAAAACTTATTTTATTATTAACAAAATAAGAAACTTTTATATTTTAAGTGGGTCAGAAAAATCAGTATCCTGTATATTATGTAATTTTCATGTCGTTTGCTACTTAACATTTATATTAATACTTCAAATTTATATCAAGCATCAAAAGATAAATTATTAGAAAAGGCTGAAAATAATGACATCTTGAAGCAAATACATTAAAAAAATGTGAATATTATTTGTATAAAATTTAATATTGCAAAACAACGTGAAACATAAATAAAAACTTTGTATTAAAAATGCAGTAGTACATAAAGTTCCAGCCTTAATACAATGAATTAACCTGTGTTCGAATGTCAGTGAATTGTCTGGTTGCAAACATACGTTTTCATGTTTTTTTTTAAATGTGTAACGTCAATGACAGCTATTTTCCGTTAGAAATCCTTCAAGAAGACATCCTTTCCTCAGACAGACAGCTCTTGTGCACATTAAATATCCTCGAATATATTAAACAAGCAAACAATAATAAAGAAGAACAATCACTTTCTATTTAATTTTAAAAATCATTTACTTCTGAACTTGCAGCGGCAACAAATTTAGATTCTTTAAAAAGAATTTCCTAATGCGCTAAAGTAGTTTACATCAGTTAAACTTGAATTCGAAAGTTGGTGTTTAGTATATTTTAAGTAATATGAGATTGTAGAATCATTAGGGTTTTTGGACGCTGGAGAGGCGAAAAATGAGCAATGCCCTTGCGGGGTTTCGAACTCCGGACCTCCCGAACATGCGCTGTGCTTCCAGTTACACCCCGAAGGCACACGGAAAGAAGGGAGAAAATACTTTATAAGATGATTAACGATAAGAGGAGCTTTAAAAACTTAAGGTAATAAAAATTACGTAAGATCTTGTCTTGTGGAAAACTTTCAATCACTCTATTCTATCTATAGAATATCAATTAAATAACGAAGCAGAATTTCAAAACATTATTAAAGATTGTTCTTCATTAAAAGTAAGAAAAATTAAATGCTTGAACATACTTAGTTTAACGCTTTTTAGATTAATTACATTACTATTTATGCTATTTCAGTGTTATTATTATCAAAAAGGTAAATTTTAATTTTAGTGTTCTTTATTTTTAAAAGTTTTAAATATTACTTATATGATTTCTCTGAATGTATAAAGCTACAATTAAAATATTATAACATTTATTTAGTCACTTTTGATGAATTTATAAGCATGTATATATATGTTTATATTTATACTTAATTTGACTTTCTATATTACATTTTCGTCTCGGAGAGAAAAACATCTAGGCGCGGCTCTAGTGAATATACTACTTTTTAACTAAATACCATTGATATTTCATTTAGCATCATGCTTAACTCTAACTGAGATTTAAATGCTTGAAAAAGCTTGCGAGTCATTCAGCCTTTGTTTGGGATCGATTCGAAATGAAAATGCTTATAGCATTTTGTGGAACAAGAGAATACTTTATTTCCTTCGAAGGAAGTCATTCTGCTCATACCTCTTTTGTAAAATACCCTAAAATTATTGCAACGAATGTTTATTTTACTTTATTTGAAAACTAGAATTTGTATCATTTGCACTGAATTCC